GTTACATATTAGGCAATATACATTTGTTACATATTAGGCAATGTACATTTGTTACATATTAGGCAATATACATTTGCTACATATTAGGCAATAAACACTTGTTACATATTAGGCAATATACATTTGTTATATATTAGACAATATACATTTGTTATATATTAGGCAATATACATTTGTTACATATTAGGCAATAAACATTTGTTACATATTAGGCAATATACATTTGTTACATAATAGGCAATATACATTTGTTACATATTAGGCAATATACATTTGTTACATATTAGGCAATATACATTTGTTACATATTAGGCAATATACATTTGTTATATATTAGACAATATATATTTGTTACATATTAGGCAATAAACATTTGTTACATATTAGGCAATATACATTTGCTACATATTAGGCAATATACACTTGTTACATATTAAGCAATATACATTTGTTATATATTAGGCAATATATATTTGTTACATATTAGGCAATAAACATTTGTTACATATTAGGCAATATACATTTGTTACATATTAGGCATTATACATTTGTTACATATTAGGCAATATACATTTGTTACATATTAGGCAATAAACATTTGTTACATATTAGGCAATATACATTTGTTACATATTAGGCATTATACATTTGTTACATATTAGGCAATATACATTTGTTACATATTAGGCAATATATATTTGTTACATATTAGGCAATATACATTTGTTATATATTAGGCAATATAAATTTGTTATATATTAGGCAATATACATTTGCTACATATTAGGCAGTATACATTTGCTACATATTAGGCAGTATACATTTGTTACATATTAGGCAATATACATTTGTTACATATTAGGCAATACACATTTGTTACATATTAGGCAATATACATTTGTTATATATTAGGCAATATACATTTGCTACATATTAGGCAGTATACATTTGCTACATATTAGGCAATATACATTTGTTATATATTAGGCAATATACATTTGTTATATATTAGGCAATATACATTTGTTACATATTAGGCAATATACATTTGCAATTATTTCTTACATATATAGTCTTAACAGTGCAATATAACATGCAGTAAAGACAAAAATTAAGCTATCACAGAACAAATAAAGAAACTACGTTAGGATTCAGTAGAAACTGACCCGGTCATTTTTTTTATGGTACATGGCATGCGCGTAATCATACTCACACCCGTAGCAGTTCAAAAGGGGCGCAAGTCAAAAAATCGATTTTTCAAAGGAAGCTAATTGCTGCATGTTTTAGGTCGGTGAAACCGTTGATAGACACGGTATTTGGATGGAAACGTTTGGAACAGTTATTTCTGATTGGCCAGGTAAACGTAAAGGCGTACATTTTAGAAACAATTTTAGAACTATCTATTGAAAAAACATCCTTTAGTCAGATTTTTCTTGAGAAAAGACTAAGTCGACTCCGTAGACGTTCGGTAATGAGTAGTGTTTTCGAGAAATTACCAACGAGGGAACAGATAGCTGTTTTAGAAAAGTAGACTAACTAAACGCTATGACTGTTTGTTTGGAAAGAAGAAGCGGTTGTAAGGCACACAATTTTAGTTTCCAATTTTTAATATGCTATTTCATTTGTTTGATTGTTTGCAGATATAATATATTATGATTCACGCATGTATCATATTCATTTCGTAGGACTCTATTGATATGTTAGTTTCTACCATTTAATTCTCTGACTTTTTAATTATCAATTCATTGAGAGAATTGACTGATCGCATGTAATTAAATATTCGATATGTAGAATTGGTAGGGATTTCATGAATTTACCCTAACATACGAATATGTCATATCTTTAGGATGTAGGAATTGAATCTCTGTGTAGGATGATATTGATAATTAATGACAAGGGTGTATTTAAATACGAGTTCGCAGTATTTAATTGCTCATGCAAGTTACTTTAGGATCTTTAGATTCAGTGGATATTATGCCATAAATAGCTGAGCATTAAACTGCATTGAATAGCAAAATGTAAATAAGTTGTGTTGTAATGTATGCTGGCATATACGGCAATATTGTCTGTAGAAAGCACGTGGGAATTTATGACATGCCCATGGATTGGATGAACTTGAGTTAAGTTCATCTGTATCCACGTAAAGGTATTCTTACCGCAAACACAGAATCTGCGAGGAGTATTGTTTAAGGTCACGTTAGGTCAGAATTGTGCAGTGTAAAACTCATAAATCTGAGCACGAGAAATATAGTTTAAATTTATATGTAGATGTGCAGTGTTTATATGTAGATGTGCAGTGGTATTTGTCTAACTTGAGACATGCTATTTATTTAAAGTGACAACTTCTTACGTTGTACTTCGCACTCCGAACGAGAGAAAGTAGAAGGAGGAATACGAAAGAACCCAATGAGATAAAAGGGAAATCTACATCTACGGGATGTTAGAATAGCGAGGGTCGGAAGTCGACCAAGAACGTGGCAAAACGTGGGGAAAAAGTCGTGAGAAGTTATTTTTCAGGTGACGCTGTCAAAGCATTGGAGATTGCTCTAAGTCAACACTCATAAAACATGATGAAAGTCTTACGCTGTAATTAAATTCTGTCACTGACAATCAGTCAAATTGGAAGGTGAAGTTTGGCTATGTTAATTGAATATACGTAATTTAGTGAATAGGATGTATGATAATTTATTTTGTCTTTTGATCATATGTAAACTAATTTAAAAAATTTATTTTATTTATTGAAAGGGTGCTCGTTGATTTTATTTCTTTAAATACTTTGCTCAGTTATATGAATCGTTCCATCTATCCGTCCACACCTGGCAAATTACACCGCAGGAGATCATTCCCTAGTTAACGACGCCGATTAAAGAAAAGAGGGTTATAATGTTTAACCCCCCACCTCCATTACACAAATATTCAAAAGTGTTCCAACCAAATGTATGCAATTGGCAACGCCTTATCATCCAGTATAGCAATTTACGATAGGCAGTGAGTAACGAAATATTGCTTGAGGCCATGAAAAACGAGATTTTGCTCGAGGCCATGAAAAACGAGATTTTGATTGAGGCCATGAATAACGAGATTTTGTTTGAAGCCATGAATAACGAGATTTTCTCGAGGCCATGAATAACGAGGTTTTGCTCGAGGCCATGAATAACGTGATTCTGCATGAGACCATGAATAACGAGATTTTTCTTGAAGCCATGAATAACGAGATTTTGTGCTAGAAATAATTTTATTGATTCATTGGAGAGAAATACGATAATTATGTGCCACTGTCCATCAATGGACATCGGTAATAGCATGACCAAGATATTCTAACACAGTTCAAAGACATGAACATGGTCAATACACAGGACTAAGGTTCAAATCCAGCAAAATACACATATTCCTATTTATTTATTTTTATTTTCCTTTGGAATGAAATTATATTATTGCTTACACTTCGTGTCTTAATTTACCCAGAGCACAGTAAAACATTAACGGTAAATCACTAACATCCTGCGGGATGTATAAAGAAATCTGCTACCTCTGTCTGTTAAACATGTTGCTACGTTTAAGCATACAGTACAATAAAAATAAAGTTTGCTTGCTCCAGCTCATTAATGCATTTATTTCATCTGATGTGAAAACTAATGCATTTCTATCGTGTCCTCGCCACTTGTTAGAACACTGGAATTTTCACCCACTGGATGAAATAAATCGTTCCTCACTCGCTTCAAGCAAATATTCATCTTCAATTTCTATTTGAGTCATTGATCGAAATGACGAAATTAATGAACGTGTACGAAATGATAAAACACACTAATAACGAGTTGCCAATGCAAAGACCATTGCAAAGTTGTTGTTGTTGTTGTTGTTGTTGTTGTGCTTAACGCCATTTTCAGCACACGATAGGTATTAATGGTGGAGGAAGAAACCGGGAAATCACCGGAAAGAACCACCGACCCACGAGAAGCTACTGGCAAGCTTTCTCACATATCCACATTCGCCGAATCCTAGACTCGAACCCACGCAGACAGAGGTGAGATGGCAGTGATCCGTAACGGACAGCGCTTTAGACCACTCGGCCACTCGGGGCCCCCCATTGCAAAGTAATGAGTAGAATGAAAAAGCACAAACTAGCTTGATTAACGAAACAAAATGATTAAGATACACTATTTCGTTAAAAAGAACTTAAATAAATTGGATGAGGATTACTTTAGACAATACTAGACCCATTGTCTTTCACCAGCCTTCTGATAAACAGAAGAAATATAAATATTTAATTTATTTATTTTAGCTGCAAGTAGCTATTTGCGAGAACTAATGTGTTTGTGTTTGTGTGTGTGTGTCTGTATGTGTGTGATTTGGATTATTAATGTAGCTTTGAAAAAAACTTTCAGTCATATCGCTACGATGACTGCAGTGTGACAGTTTATAGTGATGTCTAGCACTGGGGCATCATGAGGCAGACATGTAGCATGATGTCCCACCCAGTCACATCATGCTACCACCAGGCAAACCAGTCCTAACACTAACCTCTTAATGCTGAGAGCCAAGCGAGCCAGCTGTAAGTACCATATTTAAAGTCTTTAGTATGACTCGGCCGGAGTTTGAACATCATACCATTCCTAGAATTAACCTCTTAATGCTGAGCGCCTAGTCAGGCAGCTGTTAGTACTGTTGGTATAAGTCTTTGATATGACTCGCCCGGGGTTCGAACCTTGGACCTCCCGCATCAGAGACAGACTCCATTGACCACTAATAATAGAAGAATGTCTGCGTAATTTAGATTTTTAACGTAACTTTAACAGTTTTTCAATCATATCGTTACGATGTCTGCAGTGCGAAAGTTTATAGTGATGTCTAGCACTGGGGCATCATGCCACACACATGTGGCATATTGTCCCACCCAGTCACATTATCCTGGCACCAGACCAACAAGTCGTAACACTAACCTCTCAATGCTTAGCGCCAAGCGAGCCAACTGTTAGCACCATTTTTTAAAGTTTTTAGTATGACTCGGCCTGGGTTCGAACCCACGACATCCCGCATCCAAGGCGGAAGCTCTAACCACTAGGCCAAATGAGCGGTTAATAATAACGGGTTCTAAAATGCAGACAATTAAATAGTGTCATTTAACACATCGTTGAACGTCATATTGTCCAAGCACATTGTAGTATAAGACCCGAACAGATTGTACCCCGTTACGGAAAAAAAATACATACTGTACCTGATAGCAATTTTCGTTTCTTCAAATTGTATCAATGCATATGTTAATAATTCACGTATAAAGACAATACGAAAAATAATATCTTTAAAAATAATATCTGACGTTGTTGATGATATGTTTTGAATATATAACAACATTATTTTTATGATATTTAAAATATGAATGGCGTATATGTTGAGTATAATAAGCGACAAAATTTAGCACGTTACGGTGAAGTAGCTTCTACTGCGTATGCCCACTGTTACAAAATCTCTTCATTTTGTCGTTTTCAGAAGAATTGTTACAATTTCCTTCTATTTTCTGACATAACAGATCTTTGTCTATTGTGCCCTTTCATCTTCCTCAGCATCGTATATATTGTATCGTAGATTAGAGGAATCATGTTAAGTGATGGTATGTTTCAGAAAGGATTATGAAGTGAAGTTTTACCTTTAACACAACACAATTAGTTCCGATATTAATTGTTCAATATCTTTACGAAAAGTATTGAAAGGTATTTAATGTATTTTATGATAACGTCATAAGAGAGAGCTACAAAATGTAAACTGCAGGTGCTAATGCAACCTTAATCAATATTAAACTCGATTCATACATAATAATATACAAGGATTAATTATTCCTTCGAGATAGAATTCAGAGAGGGGTCATAAAAGGGTACTTCAATTCATTTATAGATCTAATGATCATTACTTATGAAGGATTACATAACGTTTTATTCTTTTGGAAATGCATCAAATCAACGGTTGGATGAAGCAAAATAATATTTCTTTGTCGATACACACTTACATTATGAATATCATTATTTCTAACATTTATAGGAGCTAACCATTAAATATGGTTAGATCCATGACGCGTACCAGATGATAAACAACGTGAAACAAATTATGAAACATTCAACAAAGGAATATATATGATAAAAAGAGAATAGAAAAATCAGATGTCTACAAAATCGTCTCATCCAATTATTTTAATAGTTATTAAATTACCGTGATCATCAACTAAATTGTTAAGTACATCAATACCTGTTTCCAGGTTTTGTATTGACATAAAATTTAAGGTACAACAAAATTTAAAAACTCAGTGATAACTTCTTTTTGACATAGCGGTGATAACTACAATTTGTCTTGGCAGCGATAACTTTTTTGACTTTGCAGTGATAACTATTTGACTTGGCAGTGATAACTACTATTTCCCCAGGATTGCCATGTGACATTATAGCAGGGTGAGAGGTTACATATAAACTTAAATAACTTACCCAAGGACAGCACATTTTAACCCCATGTGATCCCCTAGGATGCCATATGACATCATACAGGGACAGAGATTACATATAAACTTAACTAACCTATTCTAGGTCAGCACATTTTAACCACCATGTGATCCCCTAGGTTGCCATATGACATCCTAGCAGGGTCAGAGGTTACATATCAACTTATCTTACGTACAGCACAGTTACATCTAAACTTAATTCTAAGAATTTAAACTATCGGACAGCGCAGTTACATATAAACATATCTTAAAACAACACAAACATGCCTTCTCGATGCGTCAACATAAATTTGCAAACTCACCCCATCATAATCAACCCAGGCGATGCAAAAGTGCACCCACCACGTGTTGATATGGTGTTGAGAATGTACAAATTTTCTATTAATGCGGAGCCCCCAGTTGGATTTTGGCATAATATTGCATTCCCCATCATCATATCACCGGCACGAGAATCCAACTTAGGACCTTGAGCATGAAGATCCAAAGCGTTAGTTATCAGCCACCGGACATCTTATATGAATATGTTGGAAAAACTATATTATTATTATTATTATTATTATTATTATTATTATTATTATTATTATTATTTATTATTATTATTATTATTATTATTATTATTATTATTATTATTATTATTATTATTATTATTATTTATTATTATTATTATTATTATTATTATTATTATTATTATTATTATTATTATTATTATTATTATTATTATTATTATTATTATTATTATTATTATTATATAGCTACCTAATGCTGAAAGGCACTATAAGAATATAAAATATCATATTCATTATAAATTGTAGTGTGTATTTCTGAATAAAATAACATTTATTGTAAAATATTTCAATTTCCAAATCCAATGGAGAGATCTATATAATGTATCAATTCTATTGAGTTATAAGTCTGTGTCATCCGATTGTCGCTAGGAGACCGTAAAAAAATAATTGTATGACCTACGAATTGTATAATGCTGTCTAAAAGTAACTTGATGTATGAAGTTATATAAGTTCATGCCCTTTATTCAGTTCTTACTGTCTTGTATCTGGTTGTGCTAAGTTGATTTCAGATATCAATTTAGTGAATACTATAGAATCACAGTTCTTGAATTTTGTAGCATTTCCTTGATAGAACTTAGGCCTGTGCCTGTCTGTTTCTCTGAATGTATGTGCTTGTTTGTATATCCGTTTGATTGTCTGTTTATCCGTCTGTCTGTTCTCTTTTGGAATTAAGTGAAATTTAGAGAAATTGAAATGCCTTTAAATCGAATATAAATATATATATATATATATATATATATATATATATATATATATATATGAAACTTTATCGCTGGCGCAACAAATTACTTTATAAGCTACTCAGCAAGGAATACGCTGTTGTGCTTTTCTGGTACTGGATTTCTTAGGATTATCTTCAGCTCCAACCACAGCAATGACTAGACACTCGAAATCAGCGTAACAATAGTCAGTTTACGATTATGATTTTTTAATTTATATATTTTGTGTTTGCTATGCATAGTTATTTTTTAACATTAACGCAGTATTTGAGATGTTCCTGCAGTCTTCCATTGCTAACAAAACCGTGCAGAGATCTATAACATCTTTATTTTTATTTTTACTATAGTGTCCGCCAACTAAGCCGTTAAAGCTTTTATTTTATCAACAATAATGTCCGTGATAAAAAAATAAATTTATTATCAACTGCAAAGCAGTGGATGAGATATATCTCGAGTAAACGTTCTCGTTTTCGTCTAGTCCGAAAACATTTGCTGAGATACTTTTTTGTTTTTCAAACTTTGGTATGTGATTTTCTGCTACTGGAATGTTTAATTTGTCTTTGTATGGAAAATACTTGTTAACGCGATCAGCATTTTGTTCTTTTTGAAACACCGCATAAAGAATAGGCCACTGAAAACATGTCATCATTGTATTTTGACATTTATACCGCTTTTTTTGTTCTCAATTTTTTGAAGTAGATCAACGCAATTTTTAAAATCCATCTAGATCAGTTGTTTCAATATATCTTGAAGTTAGAGAAGAAATACAATTTTAATCAATAACATCTGCGGAAAAAATATCACAATATTAATCCACGTGCAAAAAATGTAGCTGATAATGTAAGTAAATCGGCAACGTCTCTCTTGATAATTGATAGATTTATCTTTAGATGCGATAGATAATTTATATTTTCCAGATCATTCCAAGAAAGATAATTCTGACTAAATTCCTTAAAATCGTCGCGATTAAATCGTAATGTCATCATTTTATTGATATTAAGTTTTAGTTTTTTTCTGCTGCTGTTAACGAAAATCTGAGAAATCACCCAAGGTTATCATAACGTCAACAAAATAAAGCATATGACTCAGCAACCTATCTCGAGTTGCCTCAGCTTGTTATTTGTTGTTTAGTATATTAACTCGCTGACAATATGTTAGTTCCCCGAACATATTATATATTAATTAAATTAAAGATTATTATTAAAATAATGAACTTGATTGAGAGTCTGGTTAATATATATTTTGAAGAGTTTGTTTTACTTCAAATCTTAAATTAGAAAATATCACCGATGATAGTTTTGCTGGTTATACTGAAAATGATATTTTGTATAACTATAACGACAACGACGAAGATGATGTTGTTAGTTAAACCATTAAGCAGAACAACAACTGGGCGATATGATGTTAAGTACCATATTGCTAAAAATATTAAAATTTAATAATTTTAGTTTTGCCAAGCATCAAATATTTAGGCAACTTATAAAACAATTTTAAAATGTAAAAAATACATGGACAACAAAGAAATATAAAATACGATTTTATTTTTGTCAAAATATCTAATTTAATGTCAATTGATAATACAATATATTTACAGTTAATTTCTTAATTTAAAAAAGTAAAATGTAAGTCAGTACTAAGAAAATACTAAAAAATTAATAATATTATTATTCAGTCGAGGTCGATGCAATTGACCGAGTTGGTACCCAACTATTAAATTTATCGCTATACTCACACCAATTGACTGAACTATTGTTGTCGTGCTTTTCAATAACTTTCTAAGCAACAAATATATATTGTTCTTTTGTCTGAAGTTCTTGCTCGTAAAACATACCATTTAATAAATACACACCGAATAAATCTTTTAATGAGAATGTAACAGGTATTGTAAAAGTATTTTTTTAAACAAGAAATACTTCACTCCAGTTATAAGTGTAAACTTATTCAAATGTTTAGCTTTCGTCAAAGAAATTCTAACTTTATCGCCAACTTTAAATTTTTGTCTGCGGTACATATTTTCATTTGGTGACATTTTAATGGTTCGGTGCATCATGTTATTATATTCGTCAACAGTTTTCTGTAAATTGTCGATATATTTATTCGTATTTTAGCTGTCAAAAGTTTTCGTTTAGTTTGCGATTAAATCGCTCGACAATGACGCTTTTCCTCTCATTTCCTGTAACATATTTTTTACTGTTAGTTTGCTCTAAGAACTGCTCGCTTTATTAAAAAATCTCTGCTCATTAATGTGTCCAGATTATGTTTTTTTCTGTAGTTATTAGTTGTTTTAGCGCATCAGTCATCGACGTTCCTGTTTTATTTACATTAAAAAGATATTTGTTTGGAGTGCCATCAGTGCCAAACTTAAACTGAGCTAGAGTTGACATATCATCTAAATTTATCGCCCATATATCATCAACGGCATTTGCGAGAAGTTTACGTGGCGTAAACTATCTTAGGTATATATGTAGCTCTACGGCAGGTTCATCACATAATTCTTTTTTTTTACCCAGACTTAATTTATATTGTGCTCCAATAAAACCCTGAACCAGCCTTCGGTCAACACGTTATCGCATATTTCTAGGTTTCCTTTCAAGAAATTTGTCTAACATTACTTTATTGCATGTGTGTGGGGGGAGGTTGTTGGCTGTCTGGACGTTCAATATCTCTGTAGCATATATCATGACCCATTGATATTGCAACAACTTGACTGCAAGGTTCTTCTCCTGGCAGCGGACTATCGTTTTCGTCAAGTTATTTATCAAGAGATCCAGTATATTTATGGTCCGGCAATGTCCAACCGCCTTTTAATTTCATCAATGAGATGAAACTTAAGATTTTACTTGCAACTTATAAGTGATTGAAAAATATCTAAAACAATTTGATTGGTCAGCTGATATCAAGCTCTTATAAATGAACACCAGCCATTATTTACAATAGCTACTTGTGCATTAGGTGGATTGGCAACTGTCATAATCTGGCCACGAAACTTTGTGAGAGAATATAAATATGTCATCGTCTCTAGTATTACATTTTCATGCGCCAGCCTTATTAGGTTAGCTAGAATTTTGATGACGATATTCAACATATTCAAATTATGTTACTGTGTCGTCTGTGTCATAAATGTCTGCTCAATCGAGATAATGTTTTACAGAAATTTTTATTTATTTGGTAATACAGTATTGCAGCGCTGTTACTTTAGATAATAATTTTTATTTTCTGCTCACTCTTTGGTGATAAATTTTTTGTTATCATTGGGAGTTTGGTTTCCTTTTGTTGGTGCAATTTCTGAAATAACTTGTTTTATCGTAGGTAATCCATGTTGTGGATCACCTTTTATTTTATCAGATATATTTGTACCACAGCAGTTCAAGCTGCAGATGCAGCTACAATTGCAAACGGTTTTGATGCTTCAATTGCAATTGCTGTGTCGTTTGTGTCATGCATTGCTGCTAAATCAAGATGGTTTTCTTTACAGACATTTTGTTATTTATTAACTTAAACAATTATTACGGCGCTGTTAATTTAGTTATCAATTTTGTATAACTTGTTCACCTCGTGGTGATAAAAGCTTTTTTGTTGTTGTTGTCATTGCACGTTGAGTTTATTTTGTTGGTGCAATTTATGAAATTGCGTGCTATATCGTATGTGCGACTTTTATTTTAACAGATCTTTTTTTGTCCCACATCAGCTACAGTTGCAAAAGATTTTGATGCGTCAAGTACAATTGGTGCAACTTTACGAGCTATCCCAGGAATATTTTCAATAATGTTAGTAAATATATTTCCTAATTAACCTCCTCCTATTTTTCGTTTATGAACTATTCTCTGCTGCATTATATCTGAGGTTGTATAATTTTGTTGTCAAATCTTCCAGAAAATTAAATATAACGCTCTTCCAGACTGATCAGTTAACTGCATATTTACTTCTGTTATTTGGTGTTTAACATTTAACGGATAATAAATAATATTACGCGGGTTAATTTGCGTAAGAGAAACTGGTGGAACTTCTTGTGAAAATCTGTATATCGTTTGTCAAATTACTGCCCTTAGTTGAGTAAGATTCAGATGCAATGGTGTAATTTACACATTTTTTGTTTACATCAGTTGTATTTACTGGTTGTTCACCGTCAAAAGTTATAGTTTCCCTATGAGCATCTTACATATTTTGAAGAAACCCTAAAAGTGGTGCAATACTTTTTGGTGATATAAAATTAATCATATTTTCTAATGGTATTCTAGCTGGTAATTTGTTATAAGATCGGTGTTTAACTCACAATTGTCTCCAATACTTCCTTCTTTTTTTATTCCTTCTTTTATTATTCTACTTAGATCGGTTATTTTGTACTCGCCTTGTGGACTTTTGATTGCTATGAAAGGATGATTTTTACGTGGCAATTTAATAGTAATTTCAAAATCATTTTGTTTACTTGTTGTTTCGAGCTTTTTATACTTTACCAACATCAGTAGCAGTATAATCTCCTTTCTGTATTTTAAATTGTTTCCAACTTTCACTGAGAGTATTTATATACGAAAAATCATCATTTACTCCAGTTTTTACATTATCCATAGCATTCCAACAAATGCAAGAAAAAAGTCTAATTTCATATTGTTTTTTACGATCTAATTCTATTGGCATTATATATTTTACTGAAAAAGCGCTATCTTTATCAGATTAGCTAGAATCTAGTAACGATGTTGTTGACCTTTATCAATATATTGTTAGAAAATTAATCACCCTGATTAGGTCGCGATGTAAAGTTTCATATTCAGATGCTAATAATATTTATCTCAAATTATCAAGTATGTCAATAATTTCATTGTCAATTTCAGCACAAACATTTCCAGTATCTTTAGATGATGCTGGAGTTCTAACTGCTGATCCTGTTTTTTTCTTACTAAATTTATCTAATCGATCCTTATCATAGTCTTGAAACAACTTTTAAAAAGTTAATTATTTTTTTCACATATTCTTTATCACTAAATTTCTTTGAAGTAGTTTTAAAAGCATTAGCAATAACAGCATCTCTAGCTTTTTCTGAAAGTCCTTCAACATCTTTCATTTCAGTCGTGTCAATTTCGTTGTAAACTTCTACATTTTTGTTATGAAATCATCTAACTTTTTATTGAGATCATTGTATTTTTCTTTTTCCCAATCATACAATTATCAACGTCAGAAATGTTGTTTTCCATAAAAGCAAAATATTCTGATGACATTATTTTGTATTTTGCTTCACTTTTATATCTTCCACGGCTGATCTTTGTAAATCTTCTTCAGTCATCATAGAAAGTTGTAGTGTATATACTGATTCTTCTGGACTTTCATCAAATAATTTTGCTTCATTTATTAAGCTAATAAGGTAACTACCACTACGACATTATTTCTAATACTATTATTAGCCTTAATGTACAGATCAGCGATAACTCCCTGTTGGTATAATTTAATGCTCATATAGTAAATTCCATTTTCTAAAACGATTTTGCTTAGATGCTCAACTCCTTGGTTTCTTATTTATTTAACATTTTTGTAAGTCTTTGGTATGACTCGACCGGGGATCGAACTCACGACTTTCCGCATCCGAGGCGGACGCTATAACCACTAGGCCACCGGAGTGGTTATGTTGTGGATTTATTGCGTAAGTATAAATGCGATCGTAATTAGACTTATCTCCGAGAAGTGAATTCATAAGCATGTTTGCTTTTCCCGACCGAGTTCTTCCGAGAATAATATAATGACAATCTGGAAGCTATGTTTATGTTGCACCAAACGTTCTGTATCAAAGTTTATTATAGACGATTCTGCCATTATTGTTATACAATTTTATGTTATATAAAGTGTGTCAAATAATAAAAATTAATGAACTTTTATTCAAAACCTCGAAGATCAGTAGGAGAGTCATCGTCTACTCAGCAAGGTGATTTATCTAAATATGCAACTCTTGATCAGCTCAAAAATGAAATCAATAATTTATTAAATATAACAAGTGTTGATTAAAATGAAGTTATTTTTCAAGATAAGCAAGGATGATTAAAGACAAGTAATATACAACTGGCAGATGTACTTGCACGGAGTCCCACTGCGGTTATTAATAATATAGTTACTTTCGCTGATCAAGGTAAAATATAAGATTCGGGTGAGTCTATTAACGATTATGTTAAGAAAGCTGGCGATTCGTTTACTGCTAATTTTATTATGACTACAAAATGTTACATACCTTGGAAATCCAACCATAGAATCAGACGCAGCGAAAAAAAAAACGTCGATGATCAAGAATGTAAGTACGTATAATTACGCCGTGTTTTGATGCGCACATTTCTCAATATAAATAATAACGGTATTAATAATTTCAGAACACCAGAAACAGATTTAGACGCTGCAAATAAAAAGTACTTCGACGATAAGGAAATTTCAATAATAATTTCGTTAACAATAATCAATGAAGTACAGCATTTAGAACTGACTATGATAATCACATATCAGAGTTTCTAAATTTTCGTAGAAAGATAAAAAGATCGATTGATGAATTTTTGATATCCACCAGATGTAGATATCAAACTCGTTGATATTAAGGCAAGACTCAATGATATTGTCAGTGGCATTCCTGATATCGTTCAAAAAACTAATCTGATTAAAATTCCACACAGTATCATCAGAATCAAAATATGGTCACCGCACAATAACACTATCAAACACTCCGTAGACGTAACTAGTGTCTATAGGCTGTCCATATTTAGCGGTGCAAGATGTATAATATTTGCTACTTATATGTGGCGTCATTCAACTGATAATTTTGTTGTATCTATACTGTTAAATAAGGACGCTAGGGAAACATTTGTGCTAAAAGTACTTGATAAAAGATTAACCGCAGAGATTTATTGGTGGTGTCTGGAATTTGTAGCTGAAACTCCACAATTAATTACTTAGATGACAGTACAAAATTTGTTAACAAATATTATATAATGATAAAAATATAGTTGAATTAATCATAGTTTAGAAAACATTTCAAAACATGATGTGGACGCTTTAATGCAAAATGATAGATATTATCATAAATAGCTTAGGTGTGTGAAAAATGTTACAAATGCTATACCAAAATACTCCGAGTAATATTATATTTATCACTGCTAATGGCTAGCTCTGGTATAATTTCAAGAGGCGCATCATTAAATCCATTTTGTTAATAATATCCGGCGTTGGTGTTTCCCTTGCAACAGTGTGTACACAAATTGAACCTCGACTAGCAACTAAAACAAATGCTTGCAAAACAGCAAGTATCATGTATAAAAAAGTACTTGATCAGATTCGGTCTTTTTGTGGGGTATAAAATTCAATATGGAGGATTTAATATGAGAGTTCCGTAATATTGATTATATGTTAACATATATTTGCCAGTGAGAGTCAGAAAATATGAGAAAGATTATAATAAAATATGGATTATAATACTGCAGATGTCTAATTTTGTGTAACTTTACAAATATCATTATCAAATAAAATATCGACCAATGTTCAATAAATGTCATCACATCATCTACCCAATTTGTTATTCTTATATCATTTTCAGTCGCGAATAACCATATTGATCCATGGTTTGGTGATATATGATAACCTACTTTTTTAAATACAATAGCTTATTATCTTTTGTCTTATACCAGTATAATGTGACGCTGATTTGATGTTATTAAATTTATTACACAATTTGTTTTCTAGATCAAATCCAACATCCCGGATTGAATTAGTATGCATTATAAATAACATTTCACTTGTTTAATATAAAATTTTGTCTATTAAGCATAGGCAGTTGATTTGTTCCTCTCTCAGTGCCCCTTACAATGGACAAAACATATTTTGTCGGAAATAAGAAAATCATCATTTTGAGCTAAAAAGGCTACTGACAAAAATGTTAACGTATAATGTCTTGCAGGGGTGAGGGGTTTTGAGAGAGAATTATCAATTTAACTATACTACTTACATCCATATTTTCATTAGTTATCGCTAAAATCTCAACACCTATGCAAAATAAATAAAGTGCAAGAGAATCTCCTTCATGACATCGTTTTTCAAATCGAAACAATGACGATGTACTTTGACTTTATTTATAACACTACCATTAGAGTTATTACAAAACAGTCTAAATTTATTTTGGAATGATTGGTTGAAAATACTGTATTGTGCTTATGAACTAATGAATGGTAAAGAAAATGTTTCCGGTGTAGTATTTTATTTAAATGTACAAAAATAACCATCAACACGTCTGCACAATTAAAGCTCTCAAACAATTTAATTTTAAAACAAAACTATCGGTCTTAACTGGTATTACGAGTATTTACGGTAATAAACTTTGGCAAGATATATTTTTGTGTAATTTAAACTACTGTATGCTATCGAAGCAAAAGATTACGTCTGAAAGCAGATCAATTTGTCATTTAAATGGTTTGATTGGATTTAGATGTACCATAAACACATCTTGACAGAAATTTATAACTTAATAATGTAGCGCTGACTGTTATGCCACACGCGTTGTCAAATTACTAATAGTGTAATGAATTATACAATTTATCAATGGTCTTCCTAGATTCATATGTGGCCCATTTCTTAATGATGGATTCATTTCCTTCCCCAAATATGGAATTATAATCTACTGATGACTGGAATTTTTCAATTTGTTCCAGGAAACATTTAAGTGTTATTTCCTAGTAACTGCAGTTTGACCGAAATATTTAAATTGTACTTAATCGCTTTTATCACCGGGATATATTTTTACCTGCAAATATTTAAATACTCTCTTAAAGGTCCAATCTAATTTCAAACAACATAAACCCTGATCTGTCGACGCATATTGCACTGGCCCATCAGAGTCTGTGTTAATTGTTTTGTTGGTCACCCCTAACAAGCTGCATAGTTTTATATCTAGGTCTATGAAGTCTGCAGTTGGACGCTGTTAACCGAATGTATACGGTATATGATCTATTGCGATTTGGAGACCTTGGCTGTTATACGAAAACAATATCAGTATAACAAGGTAAAACATTCCTAAATCCTGCCATTTGAACAGTTTAATATTTAAGTCGATGCTGATAGAGAAATCAGTTTGTGGAACATGAAAAGTGTTTACACATGGACAATATGTGAAACTATCTCCGATTTGCCGAGATGACAGACTTTGCATTACGAACCTAACTCGAAAAACAGTGCAGGTCTAAATATTTTGGTCCCGTTTAATATTGTATTGAAATACACTAAGAACTTCTATGAAAACTCTAACCAATAAAAAGGCCAAAATGTTTGAGGTCATTTTGAGTTTTCCGACGAAAGCCTGTAGCGTAATTAAGTGTTGGCGTTTCAAGCGTTTGCGAGTATTGGAGTGATTGCCATTTAAGTTATCAAAATAGAACTGTACGTAATGTAAGAGAGCATTTTTTTAGATTGTCATTCTTTACCATCGATTTCCTGCTTTTAAATCACCCCGTTGTTTACTTTTCTTTTTTATCTGCTCTCCTCTAATCAGCTTCAAAATGCTCTGAACTTGTTATATTAACGTTTAATAGACTTTCGTGAGTCCATGCAAAAGATAAACACCATGTCACCACCCTTGCCCACATAGACTCCTCCAGCACCTTGAAAGCTTCAGAAGAATAATAGAGAACCATTTTTTTAACGATACGTGTCTTCTTACTTGTCTGTCAATTTACTATCAGTATATTTACACGACTATCTACTATCAATATACTTACGTGACTATTTACTTTCAGACTAATTACATGATTAGTTAATTTTCAGACTATTTACATGACTAGTTAATCTCAGACTATTTACATGAATAGTTTTCCATCAGACTTTTTACATGACTAGTTAATATCAGACTATTTACATGAATAGTTTTCCATCAGACTATTTACATGACTAGTTAATATCAGACTATTTACATGAATAGTTGCTATCAGACTATTTACATGACTAGTTGCTATCAATATATTTACAGGTCTGTGTACTACCAATATATTTACGTGCTTATTTACTATCAATATATTTACCTGTCTATTTAATAAACATATATTTACCTATATATTTATTATCAGCATATTTACCCGTCTCTTTAATGTCAATATATTTACCTATCAATATATTTACTTATCTGTCTACCTGCACTGGTTTGCTTCCATTGTAACACTAACACCTGACGAGTAATTATCAGATGTTACAGAAATTTTAAGGCGCAAACCAACCAGTTTGAGCAAATGTAAAATTGTTTATGCTCATGCAATCAGAGTTATTTATTTCTTAAATTTTATAGTTTTTACTAAACGTCGAGTTTACTTAAGAATAGTTTGGTTCCATGAACAAATGTGTTCATATTTTTATTTTCCTATTTTAAATAAAAATTATTTATTTTGATCTATCACAAATACACTGCTTCTCATATACACTTTGCATGTATCTAAATTTCCCTTTGAGAGAACGCGGTCTTCACATGTTTGAACATCATCCATATTGTATGAAAGGGATACGGTACAGAAAACTTGGCTTGCCACGTGGTCGTACGATAATGATCCAAAATATTAAATATATACACACACGTTATGTATTCATGTATAAATTTGAATTCTCGTGAAAATC